CCAACATTGAAGAACACCACGGAGACCGAAGTGGCAGCGTCGTACAACATCCAAAAGGAAAAAACTGTTTTACTAGCAACAGCAATGGTAATTATAAGGACTACAAAACAACTCAATCCGATACGAGCGCTTCTCGATCAAGGATCACAATCTTGTATAATAACAAAACAATTAGCAAGATTAAACAAAGCACCATTAACCAATTATCAAACTAATGTAAAAGTTATCAATGGGCAAACAACAAGCGTTGTAGCCAAATGCTCATTAGAAATTCAATTTATACATGTTAGGAATAAGAGCTGTCATATCGATGCAATAGTGTTACCAAAAATCACATCAAAAATGCCGAATGCAGAATTTACGCCAGGAAAATATTTACCAGACAACGCTCCAATGGTAAAAGATGGTGATTTCAGTTTTCAGAACTATTTATTTATAAAAAAATTTAATAATATATATACAAAAGGAAGAAATTAAATGAAATCAGCATGAACAAAAATTCCCAATGGTCTTACTTTTAATGATTACCTCTGTGAAATTGCAAATGGTCTTTAGTCTAAACTTGTAGTTGGCTTGGTTCACCTTGTTTCTGTGTTCACCTGTTTGGGAAAGAAAGTAAAAGAATATACGCTTGATATATTGAATATACATATAATAGTCTCCAAGCGCGTTGACTTAAAACCGCCTTATGCTCGTAAACTATTATATATATATTTTGTATTATGTTATACACTACGACTTAACACCGCCTTCGTGTCAGATAATATTTGTTATATTATTTTATTGGTTGACATATAATGCCACTCAGTGATCATTTAAGACTCAGTGCCTCTTAACGAAACGCGTCGCCTTTTATACTGATCAGACGAGCTTTTCATGTAGCTCACTTACAGTGTTTTTTCTATTGTTTGGTGGTGGTTCTGATCGTCTCTTTGCGGCGAATTCTCTTGATGATTCTGACGTTTGTCTATTTGGTTTTGACTTTATAACCAGCACCGGTATTTGTAATTTTTAACGTCGTTTATTGATTTATAAAAAATAATGTGCAAGTAAATAATTTATAAGTACATTAAAGTAGCTGTGGTAAATCCAGAAGGTGTGTATTTATGATTTTACCAATTTAATGTTAATTTTAATTTTCCTAACTTCAGACTACTTCACGTGTTGCAGTTGTGGGTAGTCTGGGTAATTGTTGTTGGAAATCTATACAACAGAAATATTAAATTCCAACGTGGGTTAATTTATTAAAAACAAGACCATTAAGATACGTATCAGATATTTCTCATAAAATATATTTTCTCAATTTTATTCATATATAACAGAGACTTCATAACAACAATTTTGGATATAAAAAAATTAATGAGGTGTAGAGTGTTCCTCTCCTTCTTACGGTTTGTGGAGACTATGGACAGTCACGAGATCTTGACGGTAAATTCGCACCAGATACAGTATATTGTTGAACGTTCGACGGTAGGTAATTCGTTTAACTTTTATATGTTAAGTAAGTGCGTCGCGTATAGTCGATTCCAGCTCCGCCGGCCAAGTGATGCAAACCCTTTTTTGTTTGGGGCGTGCGATCTCATTCTCCTCCAGCTCCATTTGTTGTCAGTCGTAGTCGAGATCAATCACATCCTCTTGTTCCATTGCGTGAGTTATGCAGGATTCACTGGAACTGGATTCTGTCGATATTGTTCCTGCCATTAGTGACGTAACGTAACACGTTGGATATTTTGTATTAGCGACATAATTACCTATTCCTTTTGCAGAAGGTTTCGCTGCTGTGATTACTACGCTCTTATTTTTAACCTCCTCCCTTGAGCCGTAGATGCTTGATTCCTGTCACTTGAAGTAATACCTGGAATCGCTTGACTATTTTCAGCTATTGGATGTTGGTGCTGGCTGGAGTCACTTGGACCCACCTTACGCTTGACGATTTTTTTGTACTTTGCATCAACATATTCTTGGAGTTTTTATTGATTGCTGCAGGCTTCGGCAAGTATTGACATTTTGTTCTACTGTTGTTTATTTCGATCATTCTTGTCCGAAACTTTTCCGCGGAAATTTCAAATTTCGTTGTTAGTTCAAAAGACGACTCAGAACTTCCTCATGGCACACGTTCTTTAAATACTTGAATAGATAGCGGGTATTTGTTTTATGTTGCAGTTACTTTGCCGGTACATAAGTGTTAATGTCCTTTATATTTTAAGGACAACCATAGTGCACCCTAAGGTCGGCAATATGCGCCTTAGTTAATGTTGCTGTATTTTCTGCGCTAAGCTCTACTAACACTGGCGATATAAATTTTTGTACTTTGAATGGACCGTCGAATTTTGGTGCAAGTTTCGCTGAAAAATAGTTTTTGGCCTTTGAGAGGGAATGTTGTCTAACCCACACTAATTGATTTAT